GGTTATTCAGATCGGCTGGAGAGGATTCATCTAGTCTGTCTATAGGGCAGAGGCCTACAAACTCTGGAAACAGAGTAGGGAAGAGAGAGTATCTTAGAATTTGTGGATGTTTTCACATAATTCATGTGTTTTCCAGACAGAGCCTCCATCTTCAATTGTGCTGAATGTCCCTGCCCTTGATTCTTTAGAAAATAAATTCCCAGTCCTTGAGGGAAAGAGTAATTGCTTAGGGGCAGGGAAAAGGGTAAGAGTCCAGAGATGTAATTGCTTCTTTTTGTAAAGGTCAGACTTATTGAGTTATAATTTTACATAGAGTAAAATTCATTTATTACTACAGAGTTCTAGAAGTTGTGACATAGGCACACACCATGTAACCACTGTTGTAATCAAGGCACAGGATAGTTTCATCATTGCAGAATATTTTCTTTACGCCACTTTGTGATCACCTCCTCCTCACTCCCAAGCCCTGGCAACCACAGATCTCTTTTCTCTTCCTGTAGTTTTGCGTATATAAACAGAATCATGATGTGTGTAGATTTTGAGGTCTGGCTTTTTTCTCAGTGTAATTCATTTGAGATTCATCATGTATTTGTGTGTATCAGTTGTTAATTTCTTTTACTGATATTTACATATTTTTTTTTTTACTCTATGGAGATACCATGGTCTCTCTATTCATCAGTTGAAAGATGTTAGGGTTATTTCCAGTTTTTGGCAACTGTGAGCAAAGACATTGTGAATAAAATATCTGAAAATACATTTAACCAAATAAGATACATAAATGGGAAGTAAGCACATGAAAAGATGTGTCTTTTCCAATATTTTGATAATTTTTATTGAGTTATTTGTTTTGTTATTGAGTATATTTGAGTTTATAGTCTATATTCAGGTATTTTTAAAAAATAAATCAGATACGTATTTTACAAGTATTTTCTCCTGGCCTCCAGGTTCATCTTTTTATTTGCTAACTCTATCTTTTGAAGAGCAGATGTTTTCAATTTTGATACAGCTTATTCTTTTTTTTCTTGCATGAATTGTGCTTTTGGTTTTTTATCTAAGAAATTCTTACCAAATTCAAGGTTACAAAGATTTTGTCTTGTGTTCTAGATGTTTTTTAGTTTTAGGTTTTACATTTAAGTCTATTACTAATTTTCATGTAAGTTTTATATGTGAGGTGAGGTATGGATTCACATACATGTGAATTCTGGTTTTACATGTGTTCACTTTTTCCAGCACTTGTTGAAAAGGCTGTTATTTTTTTAAATTAATTATTTTTTTATGGTGCAGAAAGTTGCTTTTATTATAGCATGGGGATGGGACCCTGGACTAAAGGAGCTACACTGGGGAAGACAAAGAGCAACTGATTATATACTTTTAAGTTTGTGGAAGGAAGAGGTGGGGAGAGATGACGTAAGTTTCTAATCTGTTGCTGAAAGTAGGGTATACTGGGCCTTGAAGGTCTGACTATTTGTCAAGATAAGGTTGTATTTAGTCTTTAATGAAATATCAACATTAAGGCAGCTAGGAGTTACTTAAGGAATTTTTTTTTAAATAAAAGATTTATTTATCTTAGGGAGAGCACATGAGGGGCAGGGGAGAGGGAGAGAATCTTCAAGCAGACTCCATGCTGAGTGTGGAGCCTGACATGTGGCTCAGTCTCACCACCTGTGAGATCATGACCTGAGCTGAAGCTAAGAGTCAGACGCTTAACTGAGCCCACCTAGGTGCCCCGAGGAATCCTTTTTAAAAATTAATTAATTTAAATAATGCTTACATCCCATGTGGGACTTGAACTCAGGACCCTGAGATCAAGATTCCCAGGCTCCACTGACTTAAGCCAGACAGGCAATCTGAAAAGGCTGCTATTTTTTCGATTAAAATGCATTTCTAAAAAATATATCAATTGCATCTATGTGTTTGTTGAGATTTTACAAAATTGCAGTCTGTTCCAGGTTTCTCTAATCCTATTTCATTTGTCTCTATGATTGTCCCTTCACCATATCACACTGTCTTGATAACTAAGTCTTGAAATCAAGTACTCTGAATCTTTCAGTTTTTCTTTTTCTAATTGTTTTGGCTGTCCTAGTTCCTTCACTTTTCCAAATAAATTTGAGAATCAGTTTGTTGATTTCTGCAAACAAGCCTTACTGGGACTTTGATTGGGATTGCACCGAATATATAGATCACTGGAGAGACTGACACTGTAACAATATTGGGTCTTCTGGTCCATAAATGTGTTATATCTCTCAGTTTACTTAGGTTGTCTTTAATTTCTTATGTCCGTGTTTTATGGTTTTTAGCATACAAATCTTGCACATATTTTGTAAGATTTATACTTAAATATTTTATGTTTTTGGTGCTATTGTAAATGATATTCTTTTTTTAAAAAAAACTCCTTTCCCATTGTATTGTTACCGATATGTGGATACAATTGATCATTGTATGCTGACCTTGCTAAACTCAATTAGTTTGTGTTATTCAGGGGTTCTGTGTTTTAACTGATTTTCTTTCCTTCCTTTCTTATGTCAGTAATGGAAATAGCATTAAAGTTTTCAACTCTGATTGTGAATAGATTTGCCTATAGAGTTCTATCATATATTGCTTTGTGTCTTTTGAAGCTCTTTTGTTGGGTACATACATAATTGAGACCATTATGTCTTCATGTTGTGTTGACCTCTCTATAATTAAGCGGTGTCACTCTGTAGTCCTGGTAACATTTCTTGTTCTGAAGTCTACTTTGTTTGGTAGTAATATAGGCTCTGTAGCCTTCTTTTAAGTAGTATTTGTACGGCATATTTTATTTATTTTTTATTTTTTTAAAGCTTTTTTAAATTTATTCATTCATAGAGACACAGCTAGAGAGAGAGAGAGGCAGAGACACAGGCAGAGGGAGAAGCAGGCACCATGCAGCGAGCCCTGAGTCCCCAGGATCACCCCCCGGGCTGCAGGCGGCACTAAACCGCTGCGCCACGGGGGCTGCCCTGTACGGCATATTTTAAATATTTGTTTTTACTTTTAACTTTTGTCTTTATATTTATCTTGGGTGTCTTGTGGACAATGTATAGTAAGGTCTTACTGTTTTATGCACTCTCTGTCTTCCAATCAGTGTGTTTATAGAGTTTTCATTTAATGTATATAGAAAGAAATATGAAAATATCTCTAGTTTATTTTTTCCTCTTTTTTTTGTTTGCTATAGATTATTTGAATATTTTATTTTATCTACACTGTTGGCTTATCACTTTAAAAACTTTTCTTATTATTTGCCCTAGGGTTACAATATAATCTTTAAATAATACTACACTGCTTGGGGTGTACTGTAGGAACCCTACATCAGTGCTTTTCCATCTATGAATCATACTTATTTCAGATTCCTTTTCTAGATGTTCATGTGGCTTGGTCATCTCCCAGTCTGGCTCTGTTGATTACTTTATTGCTCGACTCTGGGCCTTCTGTCGCCCTTGCTTTGTCATCATCATTTCTGATTGAACGTTGGACATTATGTGCAGGGCAGTAGAGTTAACTTTTTCTGTAATGGTCTGGAGAGTAAATATTTTAAGCTTTAGGGCCATATATGGTTTCTGCTGCATATTCTTCTTCTTCTCTCTATCTCTCTTTTTAAAAATATCCCTTTAAAATGTAAAAATCCCTCTTAGCTCACAGCCTGTATAGAAACCGTTCCTGGGCTGCATTTGGCCTCTGGGCCGCGGTGTACCAGCCACTGCAGCAGAGAATGAGGTCACTGGTGTTGACTTGTGGACATGGCCATGCCTCATTCTGCTGGGCTGTTGGTGTGGGATGAGATGAGTGTGGGTTTTGTTGTTGCTGTGCTTGCCTTCTATGTACCATGGGCTTCAAATACCTCTCTTTCCCCTGTGCTGAGTGAGGGTGAGGGCTGAGGTGCCTGAGTGGTTTCCTCAGTGCCCTAGTTCGCCCCTCACTGTTGACCTTCCCTCTGTGTCTGTTTCTTACTTTGCTCCTGTCCCAGTTGTAGACTGTCCTTACTGGCTGCTGAATGTTTGCTGAGCTGATGCTGGAGGACGAGGGGAGCTGTTTGTCATCTCAGTTCAGCCCCTGTTATCTGTGTCTGGCTGGTAGGGCCTTCCCAGGCCTCCTCCCTGTGACAGCCACACTCTGCACCTGGCCTTTGGTAGCCCATACTAGGGAAAGTTGCCCCCTCCATGGGTAGAGCACAGCAGTCTTCACTCTGCCCTGGGAGCCCTGGGTCAACAGCAAAAGCCTGTGGATGGCCTTGGTGTGTGACACTTCCCACTGAGGACTTAAGTCTGCTCTTACAACCCACGCTTACTTCTTAAAAGGTTTAAGTGTAGTGCTAAGAAAGAGGTACCGATGTTGAGCCTGGATCCAATTATGATATTTAATCAAGAAGTGGATCAATGGCATATTAAAGTTTCCCAGTAGGGAGGAGTAAGCAGTAAGGAGAGTTGGATCCATCCTGGTTAAGAGCGTAGCTTTGTGTTGTGCTATTTGCATCTAGCTGTGTTTTAGTGGTGCTAGAGTCCATGCAGGGTACCAGGTTCTGAACTCCAGAGAGAATTCCTCAGGAACATGGCAACACTGTGCATACTGTAGCCTATGACTCTGTGGGACCTGGGGGCCCCAAGAGCTGCCGTACCTGTACGTGGCCTCTGAGGGGTTGATGTACTTAGAATACAAATGAAGTAATGATTCTTCAAACAATCTTATGTGGACAGAATTAGAACACCATGAAAGGCCCTTGTGCTTTTAGTTCAGAATATTAAAGTGATCTGATTATGAGTAATATTTGAAGACAGGATGTCACTAAATAGATGGTCATTGAGTTTTATTGTGTTGCTCTTATGAGTGGAGCTCTTACATTGGAGTAACACTGTTTCTCATTCAGCTTGTAGTTGCTGGAGAGTCAGACCTGTCATTCAGAAGGGCCAAGAGCTCTGGAGGAATAGACTTTGCCTCCGTTCCTGTAGAGTCTCATTCTAACCAGAAGCATTCCCTCTCTCCCCCAGACCCAGACGCAGAAGTGTGTCTTCATGTACTGCGACTCGTCCAGTCTCTGGTCCTGGAGCCGGAAGTCTTATCCAAGTCGGCCTCTGAGTTCCGGAGCTCCCTGCCCCTGCAGCGCATCCTGGCCATGGCCAAGAGCCGCAACCACCACCTGCAGACCGTGGCCCAGGAGCTCCTGGACGACCTCCGCGCCCTGGAGCGTGATGTGTAGGGATGCTTGGTGTGTCCCTTCCCCTCCCCCAGGCCCCCACTTTGTGTTCTGAAACCATCACTGTGCGCCATGTGTTCTAGATGGTAGAATGTGAGTGCTCGAGAGGGACGTGAACGTGTTTGTATCCACACAATTTCCTGGAAGCGAAGAACCACAGAACTTCCTTCCTGTGGGTGGCTGGCTAACCTGGCCCAGGGGCAGTCTTCCAGAAAGGCCCATGTCCTGCACCTAGAAGAGGGCCGTCTTAGAGTGGCTCCTGCTGCTCAGGAGACTTTCTGACACCTGTGGGTTCCCCATACAGAGGGGATGAAATAACCATCTGCCCCATTGGTCAGCATTTTCCTGAGATACATTTTTTTGAAAAACAATTCATTCTCTCTCTAGTTATAATTAATACCCTAAAATGCAAGTTTACCTTTAAACCTTTTGGTGAACCTGCTATTTCAGGTGACATTGGACATTTTAGTTCTATTTTTTGTGCCTGTTTTATTTTTGAATAAAGAAAGCCAGAAGAGTCACTGATGTGCACTACTATTGTTTTCTGAAATGTATACTTGCTATTAGGAAGTTGTATATTATAATGCATGTGCTTGGTGGGTAGAAAAAAAACCCTCCTTCCATTGTTCTGGGCCATTTGGCTATACATTCAGAAGTCCCATTTTTCCTATAACAAATATCATGAAAAGGGCCTCATAGATTAGAGTCCATGCAGTTGGTTGCAGTTCTTCACATGACATAGGTGGGTGTGTCCCAGGATCCCTTCACCATGTGTGTCTTTCTCAACCACACCTAGGCCACTGGCAGAGAGGACAGAGGGATCCACTTCATTTCTCACAGACACCGTGCGTGCCAGAGTGCAAGTTCCATCCACATCACCCTATAAAGTCACATTAGGGAACACGTTCGCTCCTCCCTTGTGCTGCTTCCCTCACAGTGACGCTGCGGGCCCTTGGGCTCTGGGCATCCTCTCAGAGTGAAGGAAAGAGCTGTCATCCCCTGATGGTGGCAGCCTAATATACGTTTATAAGCTGTTTCTGCTGTGTGGCATGTTAGAGTAATTTCATTCTTCTTAGAAGTGGATCTTATAGGCAATGTGTAGTTTATGGCTGAAGCTGAAGCCAGAGGCTTGGAGGAAGACACAGTGCTGACTCTCAGGCCGACAGATTGCGGAGCACTGCTAGCTCATCGAAGCCAGAGAGCTGTTGTAAGAGGCAGTTTGAAATTCATGGGTGCAGAAATCCATCCATCTGTGTGCTGTGGTTCTGTAGGTCTGACTATTGGCGAATAAAATTGAGGATGTTGTGTGTTTGTACTTTTTCGAGCATGGTATTTTCTTTTCGGGTATTTGTTTGATAAGGTAATGGGAGATAAACTAGTGTAATGAGCTTGTGCTGCCTCTAGAAATGCTGGGTCTGTTCCTGCCAAAAACGGGATCTGCAGTGTATAGAGACACAGAACTGGGCCAAACATGAGTGTTGTATAGCTTAGCTAATTAGTAGATGGATGTGATCAAGAAGGATACTTTTTTTTCTCCTAATTTTGAAGTGTTATAGGGATAGCAGGAGTCCTCATGAAAACTCCTTCAGGGAGAAACGCATGACAAACGCCATGTGTGGAGTATCTATCACAGGAAAAGTGGAAAAGTACTTACAGCCAGTCTTAAGGAATGGCTTAGCCTTTCTAATATTTCTGTTTTTCATGTGAAGGTCAAGGGGGACACATGAGTTCTAACGAAATCTCAGTTTAAAAGTATGTATAAAAGCTTGTGCTTGGCAGTGTTTGGGTCTCTTGTGAATTTAAAATCAGAAACAAAAGCAGTAAAATAGCACATATATTTTTAATTTTATTTTCTTTTAAAGAATTCCTCTGGCGTTAAGTTGAGGTACTGTTTCTCCACGGTGCTGTCAGTTTGTCTGTAAAGGCCTGGAGCCTGTCAGGCCAGCAGCAGCCAGGCCTCACGCCACCCCATCCTGCCCGAGACGGTGCTCAGAGCAGCCCTCTTGCTCACGGAGCTCAGAGATCCTCATTCAGAAGCAGACCCATGCTGCAGTTTTGAGGCTGGCTTTCCATAGCTGGGTCTGTGCACGGCGCAGAGTGGGGTTGAGAAGTCCTCATCCCGGATATTTACATAGCCCCATGCCTTTAACTTATTTCAGAGGATTTCAAAATTAATTGGAACACCAAGCAGAGCATCGCAGGTCTGGGGCTTGAAACCAGCCTAAGGCCGGCACTCAGACCAGGGACAAAGAAGGGTGCAAATGAGAGTCGTAAATGTGCCTGTTGCACTGGTTCTAACCAGTCCTGCTGTGAGCTGTCCTGCCATGACATTAATTTGAAGGGGGAAAGGTTGATGAATACTCCCGTAGACTTACTAATTTCCTGAGACAAAGTTTGCTGTTTTCTCCTATGCCGTGGATGCTGACTACCCGAGCAGGACTCCTCTGACCAGAGTAGAGTCTTGGGTGTATGTCCTGGTGTAGTACGGGACGCAGTACAGGATACAGCACCCTGTCGGGAGTATGCTGGCTCGGACGGTGGAGTGACGAACCCAGTAGATGCTTTTCCAGGCCAGGCTCAGGTGGGGAGGTCAAGACACAGCTGGTACACCTGCGTCTTCACCGAGCTCGTCTGTAGGCTCACAGCTGTCCCTCTCCTCTGAGAGTGTGCACATTTAAAATTGTCTCCAGATGTAGAATAAGGAGTCCTTTGAATGTGCTAGTGCACGTTGCAAAATGAAGACTTGTCTTTTCTCACTTGTAATTCTTCAAGTGTCTTTTAATTGTGGCAGGATTTACCACATAGACGTAGAAGATAAGCATAAAATTACCATTTTGACCGTTTTTAAGTGTAGAATTCAGTGGCATTAAGTACATTCACAGTGTTGTGTAACCACCACCACCGTCTATGTCCAATACTTTCTATCATACGAAACCGAAACTCTGTACCCATTAAACAAGATCCCCTCATTCCCCGGCTGCCCTCTTCCCAGCCCCTGGTATCCTCTGTTCCACTTCTGTCTATGAATTTGACTCCTCTACATACCTCCTATAAGTGGGCTCATAAAATATTTGTCCTTCTGGGCCCACTTATTTCACTGGATGCAAAGTCTTCAAGGGCCAGCCAGGTGGTATCATGTCTCAGTTTCATTCCTTTTCATGGCTAAATAACATTCCATTGTATCTGCATGCAGGCACACCTTGGAGATATTGCGGAGTCAGTTCCAGGTGCCCACAACAAAGTGAATATGGCAATAAAGGGAGTCTAATGTTCTGGTTTCCCAGTGCATGTAGAAGTTACGCTTACACCGCACTGTAGTCTGTTGGGTGTGCAGTAGCATTGTGTCTGAAAAACAGTTTATTGCTAGAATACGCTAACCATTATCTGAGCTTTCAGGGAGTTGTGGTCTTTTTGATGGTGGAAGGTCTCCCCTCGATGCTGATGGCTGCTGACTGATTGGGGTGGTGGCTGCTGAAGGGTGGGATGGCCACGCACATCTTACAATAACACAATAATCAAGTTTGCCACATTGATCAGCTCTTCCTTTCAGGAGCGATTTCTCTGTAGCCTGTGATGCTGTTTGATAGCATTTGACCCACAGGAGAACTTCTCACATCCTGCTGCCGCCTTATCAACTAAGAGTGTTTAATATTCGACATCCTTCATTGTCATTCCAACAGTCTCCACAGCATCTTCACCAGCCCTGGATCCCATCTCAAGACTCCACTTCTTTGTTCATCAGTGAGAAGCAGCTCCTCGTCTGTTCAGGTTGGATCCTGAGATTGCAGCATCTCAGTCCCATCTTCAGGCCCTGCTTCTGATCCTAGTTCTCCTGCTCTTTCCACCACATCTGCAGTGACTTCCCCAGCTAAAGTCTTGAGCCCTTCTAACTCCTCCAGGGCTGGAATCAACTTCTTCCACATTCCTGGTAAAGTTGATATTTTGACCTCTCCCGCGAATCACAGATGTTCTTAATGGCATCTAGAATGGTGAATCCTTACCAGAAAGTCTTCAGTTGGTTTTGCCCAGATCCGTCAGATGAATCACTATCCATAGCAGCTAAACCTTACAAAATAGATTTCTTAATAAGACTGGAAAGGTAAAATTACTCCTTGACCCATGGGTTGCAAGAATGGGTGTTGTATTAGCAGGCCTAAAAACAGTAATCTCATGGTACATCTCCCGCAGACCTCTCGGGGGACTAGATGTACTGTCAATGAGTGGTCATATTTTGAAAGGAATATTTTTTTCTGAGCAGTAGGTCTCAGCGATGGGCTTAACACATTCAGTAAGCCATGCTGTAAACAGATGTGCTGCCATCCAGGCTTTGTTGTTCCATCCATAGAGCCTGAGCAGAGTAGAGTTGGTTAGCATAATTGCTAAGGGCCCTAGGATTTTCAGAATGGTCAGTGAGCATTGGCTTCCAATGAAGTTCACCAGCTGTGTTAGCACCTGACAAAAGAGCCTGTCCTTTGAAGCTTTGAGGCTGGGCATTGACTTTTCCTCTCCAGCCATGAAAGTCCTAGATGGCATCTTCTTCCTATGTAAGAGAGTTTTTACTACCTGGGAAGCCTGTTGTTTAGACACCTTCATAATGATCTTAGCTAGGGTTTCTGGAGAACTTGCTGCAGCTTCTACGACAGTAGTTGCAGCCTCACCTGGCATGCTTACGTTGTAGAGACGGCTTCTCTCCTTAAACCCCGTGAACCCACCTCTGCTAGCTTCCTCACCTCTCAGCCTTCACAGAATTGAAGAGAGTTAGGACCCTGCTCTGGATTAGGCTTTGATTTAAGGGAACGTTGTGGCCGGTTTGACCTGTCCAGACCACACAAACTTTTTCCACATCAGCAATAAGACCGTTTCACTTTATCATCCGTGTGTTCACTGAAGTAGCACTTCTAATTTCCTTCAAGAACTTTTTCTTCGCATTTGCCACTTGGCTGTTTGGTGCAAGAAGCCTAGCTTTTGGCCTGTCTCAGCTTTTGACATGCCTTCCTTACTAAGCTTGATTATTTCTAGCTTTTTATTCAAAGCGAGAGACGTTCAACTCTTCCTTTCACTTGAACACTCTGAGGCCATCATAGGGTTATTCATTGGTCTAATTTCAATACCGTGTCTCAGGGCCAGGGAGGCCCGAGGAAAGAGGGAGAGATGGGGGAACAGCCAGTGAGTGGAGCGGTCAGAATGCACACAACACTTACTGGCTAAGTTTGCCATTTTATATAGGTGCGATCAGGGCACCCCAAAACAGGTAGGGTAGTAACATCAAAGATCACTGGTCACAGATTCCCCACAACAAATGTAGTAATAATGAAAAAGTGTGGAATGTTGCAAGAATTACCAAAATGTGACACAGAGACATGAAATGAGCAAATGCTATTGGAAATATAGTGTCAGTAGACTTGGTGAAGGCCATAAACCTTCCATTTGTTGAAAAAAAAAAAAGAAAGGATAAAAGCAGTATCTGTGAAGGATAATAAAGCAAAGTGCAATAAAACAAGGTACGCCTGTGCCGTATTTT